AAAGATGTCGATTAGTAAATTTTCTTTCTCTCTCTATTTCTGCCAATTTGATGCTTCACAGAAAAATGATATTAAAATGCTGTTGCTTACGTATGTACATACATCAATCGCACATTTTTCAAGGCAGCTTGACTAATGTATATAAATACATTAGGCTTGAGCCAAAGGCAAATTCACATAGGTTGCACTTGACTCGCTAGTAATAAATATCCTACTTCCTACGAACATTAAAAATCCGATAGTTTGTGAGTGAGTAATTCAGTGTGCATGTATGTTTGTTGCTACTTAATGGCTGATTGAATTTCGGCGAAATTTGGCACACCGATAGGCTATATGTAGCATGGATTAATATATAGGTTATCTCTTGAAGAGAGTTGCCACCTTTTTCATACCCATATGAAATTAAAAAAATTAAAATCATTTTTCACTTAAATTGCTTTGGTGAAATTGGCTGTAAGTCAGCATATTATCGAAAAAGTTTTAAGTCGGGGAAAACCCCCCTACTTATCATGCAAATGTAGTTTGGAGCAAGTTGAAACGACCATATTTGATACCTGCGCCGGGTATATAAAGTTCGGTTTTGCCAGAACTTATACTTCCTTACTTGTTAAAAGTAAAAATCAATCAATTAATAAGATAAATAAAATATTTGTAACAAGGTGAGCTTCGAACGAAAAGGGTTCCAAAATTATTTATTTTGAAAATACTTTTAAAGGAGATTGCAACTGTTTAAAATTTACAATCGAATTATTAATAAGTAAAATAAAATATCACGATTTTTTGCAAAAATAGACTTTACGAAGGTTGCCACCTGTTCTAAAGTGAGGTTTAAATAACAAATTGAATTTGAAATTTACCTAAATAATTTAATATGCGTATCAACCAGCCTAGGAATTTAATCTCACTTTAATTGACGAGGTAAATGAAATCCTACTAATATATAACATATTTTCAAAAGAGGGTTGCTATGTCCTCAAATAGTTAAATTCAATTTTAAATAATAAATTCAACCACATTTTTTAGTATGGTTTTGCCCCTTGATAGAGATTTAAAAAAAGGTTTAGTAAGAACAATTTTTTGAGGAGAGTGCCACCTATTAAAAATTTGAATTCAATTTTATAAATAAGTTAAAAAATAAAGAATTACAATATGGATGGAAAGTAATGAGGTTTAAGAAAGCTTAATTTCGAAAATATATTGAAAAATGTTGCCACCTGTTTAAAAGCAACCAATAGTTTTTGAGATATAACAACAGTTTTTGAGCTATAAAACTGGAAAGATAAATAACGATAAGAGAATGATTTTGTGGTGGGCGCGGAGTGAGAGGGGTCTTAGACTTTTGTTCAATTTCACCCAAATTGAGAATCGTGCAAAATTTCTACCAAAATTTTTTTTCTATGGCCGAGTTGCGAAACATATCACAATTTCAAGTTTTACTTATTCTGCGGTGAAAATCCTTGTCAATGCCAGTGGGGAGGGGACTGATATTCAG